GGCATGGAGGCACACACCTGTAATCCCATCTACTCAGGAGGCTGAGGCAGGAGAATCGCTTGAATCCGGGAGGCGGAGGTTGCAGTGAGCCGAGATCATGCCTCTGCACTCCAGCCTGGGTGACAGAGTGAGACTCCATCTCAAAAACAAAAAACAAAAAACAAAAGCGATGTGTGCTGCATCTATTAAGTTTTCATTTCACAAAAGATTTATCTATGACATGCAATATTAATAGCATTTTACCCACAGTAAAACTTCTTTCAAAATTGAAGTCAACCCTCTCAAACCCTACCACTACTTTATCAAATAAGCTTATGTCATAGTCTAAATTCTTTGTTGTCATTTCAACAATGTTCACAGCATCTTCACTAGGAGTAGATTCCATCTCAAGAAATCGCTTTCTTTGTTCATTTATAAGAAGCAACTCCACATCTTTTCAAATTGTATCATGTAATTGCTTCAATTCAGTTGCATCTTTAGGCTCCACTTCTAATTTCTAGTTCTCTTCTGTTTCTACCACATCTGCAGTTAATTTCTCCACTGAAGTCTTGAACTCCTTGAAGTCATTTATGAGGGTTGAGATCAACTTTTCCTAAACTCCTGTTCACGTTAAAATTTTGACCACCTCACATGAATCATGAATGTTCTTAATGGTATCTAGAATGATGAATCTGTTGCAGAAAGGTTTTCAATTTACTTTGCCCAGGTCCATCAGCAGAATCACTGTCTAAGACAGCTACTGTCTTATGAAATGTATTTCTTATATAGTATGATTTGAAAGTCAAAGTTATTCTTTGATCCACGGGGTACAGAATGGATGTTGTGTTAGCAGACATAAAACATTAGTCTCGCCCTCTTTTCCTTTCTCCGCCATCGTGGTGTGTTCTTGCCTCCACTTCTCGCCATGTCTTCTCACAAGACTTTCAGGATTAAGCGATTCCTGGCCAAGAAACAAAAACAAAATCGTCCCATTCCCCAGTGGATTCGGATGAAAACTGGAAATAAAATAAGGTACAACTCCAAAAGGAGACACTGGAGAAGAACCAAGCTGGGTCTATAAGGAATTGCACATGAGATGGCACATATATTTGTGCTGTCTGAAGGTCACGATCACATTACCATATCAAACTGAAAATGTCACCACTCTCTGGAGAGTTCGACGTATTTTCCTCTCTGAATCTATTATGAATGCGTTGGTTGGCTGGGTTCAGTAATAAATATGTGAGGCCTTTCATTTCAAAAAAAAAAAAATTAGTCTCCTTGTGCATCTCTATCAGAGATCTTGAGTGACTATGCACATGTCAATGAGCAGTAATATTTTGAGAGGATTTAGTTTTATTTGTTTGGTGGTGGTGGTAGATCTACTAATCTCAAGAGTAGGCTTGAAATTTTCAGTAAACCATGCTATAAACTGATGTTCGGTCATCCAGGCTTCGTTGTTCCATTTACAGAGCATAGGCAGAGTAAATTTATCATAATTTGTAATGGGCCTAGGATTGTTGAAATGATAAATAAGCATTGGTTTCAACTTACCAGCTACAATAGACCTTAACAAGATAGCCTGTCCTTTGAAGCTTTGATGCTAGGCACTGACTTCTCTCTAGCTGTAACAGTCCTACACGGCATCTTTTTCCAATAGAAGGCTGTTTTGTCTACATTTAAAATCTGTTGTTTTAGTGTAGCTTCCTTCATCAATGATCTTCACTAGATCTTCTGGATAACGTGCTGCAGCTTCTACATCAACACTTGCTGCTTCACCTTGCACTTTTATGTTACGGAAATAGTTTCTTTTCTTAAATGTAATGAACCACAACCTCTGCTGGCTTCTAACTTTTCTTCTGCAGCTTTCTCACCTCTCTTAGCCTTCATAGAATTGAAAAGAATTAGGGCCTTGCTCTAGATTAGGTTTTGGCTGAAAAGAATATTGTGGCTTCATCTTCTATCCAGACCACTAAAAGTTGCTTCATGTTAGCAATAAGGCTGTTTTACTTTCTTATCATTGATATGTCCCCTGGAATAGCACTTATAATTTCCTTCAAGAACTTTTTTTTTTTTGGACAGAATCTCACTCTGTCGCCCAGGCTGGAGTGCAGTGGTGCGATCTCGGCTCATTGCAACCTCCGCCTCCTGGGTTCAAGCGATTCTCCTGCCTCAGCCTCCCGAGTAGCTGGGACTACAGGCGCTTGCCAACACACCCAGCTAATTTTTTGTATTTTTATTAGAAATGGATTTTCACCGTTTTAGCCAGGATGGTTTCGATCTCCTGACCTCGCGATCCGCCCACCTTGGCCTCCCAAAGTGCTAGGATTACAGACATGAGCTACCACACCCGGCCCCAAGAACTTTTCCTTGCATTCACAGCCTGGCTGTTTGGAGCAAGAGGCCTTACTTTTGGCCTGTCTCAGCTTTCGACATGCCTTCCTCACTAAGCTTAATTATTTCTAGCTTTTGATTTAAAGTGAGAGATATATGACTCATCCTTTCACTTGAACACTTAAAGGCCACTGTAGGATTATTAACTGACCGAATTTCAATATTCTTGTATCTCAGGGAATAGAAGGCCCGAAGAGAAGGAGAGAGATGAGGGAATGGTTGGTTAGTGGAGCAGTCAGAACACACACGTTTATAGATTACGTTCACATATGGGCATGTGTGGGCATAGTTCATGGTGCCCCAAGCAATTGTAATAGTAACATCGAAGATGATTGATCACGGATCACCATAACATATGCTAATAATGAAAACACTTGAAATAAGTACACAAATTTCCAAAATGTAACGTAGAGACACGAAGTGAGCACATGCTGTTGGAAATATGACACCACTAGACTTGCTTGATGCAGGGTTGCCACAAACCTTCAATTTGTATTAAGCACAGCGTCTGCAAAGTGCAATAAAATAAGGTATGCATGTAGCAACCATATGCACTTAGCTTCCTTCCCTTGAGGACTAGAAACACCTCTAGGATTTAGCCTTGTCTGCTGCCAGGTAAATAAGAGAGATGACTCCTCAGAGCCATTGTCAACCATCGTAATTATGTAGGAAATAAATAAGCCCTAATTATAATGGTCAACATAAATACCTTCATGATTAGTTGAATCTTAAGCGGTAATTACTAGTTGCAATGCCTTTTTCAAACATGTTTTTCTCTGGGTGCAGTAAACACGTTGTAGAAGGCAGTCCCCTGGTATCCAGCAATTTTAACGAGGTAGTAAGAGTGGGCTCCCCAATTAGGGAGGCCAGGGCTTCTGTGCACCTTTTTTTTTTCCTTAGAAACCCAGGTTTTGCCTGAGCTCTACAGTTCAGTCAAGGCCAGGGCCAAGTCTAGGTAGAGTAGAAGGTGGGGTTTGTTGGAGGATAAAGTTCATGTTAAGACATTAATGTCTGGGAATTTTGGTCATTCCTTTTGAATAAAATTACTTATAGATGACCCAATCATCAAATAGGACTAAGGAGATCAATACTGCTATTTATAAACAAATCCTGAACAGAACAAAATAAAAATTGTCTCCTTAAGAATATATAGATTTCTCCAAACTTGGTGCAATTACTCAATTTCTGAGACTCTTCTTTTGAAACTGTCTTGAGAGTCCCTTGTTATTATGTAAGAAAATCCTTATTACTTGAAAAATCACACCTAATTTTTTTTACTGTAAGTTGTATATGCCAGGTTCATCATCCAATTACTTTTTATTATTGGATTCTGAAAATACATATTTTAATGAGTCTGATTTAAAGGAAGGAGACAAAATGATTTACACCTGTATCATGTAGAGTTTCTCGCCAACTCTGAGCTGGGATTCAGGTTCTCCAACTTACACGTTGGGAGATTTTTTTGGTGTTGACCACTAAATAGCCAGTGACTTTTGGTTGTTTACAAAATCAAATTCCCCTTCAAATAATGAGTTTGCCTTTACTGAGGATATTTATAAACATGTTTGCCAGCTCCAGAAGAAACAGCGGATGAGTTCCTAAAATGTTCTATGCAGAGGCAGCATGCTGTCATATGTACATGACCTTCCAAATGGTACTCAAGAGGGGCTGCTCTGAAGTATGTGGTTATGCACACCAAGCTTTATGTGTGTTGATGAGATGGGGCGGGAGTCCGCACAGGCTTTTGTGATGAATAGACAGATCATACTGGATAGGTTTACCTTTCATTCAAAGTGTGTTTCCTAAGAATGGTATTGCAACAACAATATCACCACCTTATGTTTGCTTCATATCTTAGTATCTTAGCATTTCCAGAGCACTTTTTTCCCCTGGAAAAACTTATTTAATTATTGATGTGTTATTTTTATAAGAATATCTTATTTTATTTAGAAGATCTTGGAACTATGTTCTAAAGTATTATACATAATTGATATTTATCATTTATAGTACAGTCTTTAAAACTTCAAGAAACATGTATGAGAAAAATACCCAAAGCAAAAAGTTTAGATGCCTATGTGCTAAATGTAACAGATATTGAACAGGTTTAATCTCTGCCAAGAAGACAGGCTTTGTTTGTTTGTCCCTCTCTTCCATATAATTTTATACATCTTGCCAACTACTGGAGAAATAAATACTCAAGCTACTGCTAGTTAAATGTATAAACTGCAAGAACCACTGCAGTCTCTCTGAGGGTCATTCAATGCCTATTAATCCAGAGCACTTTTTAAAGCACGGATATCATGTCTAATCTCCCTAACCGTCCTTGAATATGAAACATAGGTCATCATCAAACTGGACATTGGTGCCCAGTTACCTATCTGCAGCCCGGAACTCTGCCGAGCTCCACGTGATTGCCCCACAGATGCCTAGAAGCCAAAATGTTGATAACAGTACTCATTATTTTCTTCCACAATTCTCTCCTATTCTGTTGTCCCCCAGATCCATTCTCTGCCATTCTCAGCCCTGATCTGTGTCCTGGGAGGCTGACTTTTACAGACTGCAACTTTGAGTTTGCGTTTGAGTTTGGCCAAGTGGAAGCCCTGACAGAAGATTGAGAGGTGGAAGAGGCGCGAGTTCAGGCATTTACTCCTCCCTGTTTCGTGAAGTTCTGGCCCCATCTCTTTGTGATTACAGTTTCAGTTTCTTCCGTGGGCCCCAGGTCTCACAGCATTCAGGTAATTCTATTTCCTTCCCTTGTCCCTGTGAACCTTTGGGTAGTAAAAGCTTCCTACTGTTGCTAGACCTTGGGTATCTCAGTATTCTTTGTTGGTTCCTTAAACCTGCCCACACATCTGTAGAAAGTTCCTTGATTGAAAAGTTTCTTCAAAAATCACAGCTGAGTGAGTCATGTGTTCCCTGCTGGAACTCTAACTGATATACACCCATCCTTACTTAGTTTATTTTTATGCCAGCCTGATTGCACAAAATATAACTAATTGCTCAAGCTAGAAATCTGGAGGTCCACTCCTACTTCCTCACCCATATATGAAGTCTTTATGACCTGTTGATCCGCTAAATATCTCTAAAAGCATTCTCATTGCTCTCTTCTCTTTATAACTTACTTGGCCCAAGCCTTCCAAAATAGCCTCCCTATTTACCTTGTAAACATCCTTCATCCTGCTAATGAAATGGTCTTTCTCTAATGAAATCTGGTCAACTTATTTGCATTTCATCAGTGGTTCCTACAGCCTTCCGGAAAGGTCAGACTCGTTAGCAAGCCAATAAAGAAAGCTGCTGAATAAAGAAAGTATCATTCTAGCCTGATTACCTGTCCTCTTCCCACATACTCCCTACATTCCAGCCATAGGGATCTTTGTGCAGTTCCCCAAAACACATGCTATTCCCTCTGCAGGGAATGCCCATTCCTCACCTTTCCCACAGGCTGGCTTCAGCTCGCTGACCTCAAGCCTCCTTTCCCTCTAGCCTCAGAGGGCAGCTATGGCATGAATGAAGGCAACTGTGGACAAAATGGTGCTGCAGATAGGTTCTTCCTGCTCTCACAAGTTCCAGACCAGTTTTTGTCAGGGGAATTTGGTCAGAAATCTTAGCAGGAACTAAGCACCTCTGTGGCACTCTCAAATCCATCTGCCTTTCTTCATCTCTATCACTGCCCTCATTCAGGTCACTTACCCTTTCTTCCCTGAATAATTCATTTGCCTCCCCACAGGCCTCCCTGCTCCCAGTCTCACTCCCGTGCACCCTTTGTGCTGCAGAGTGATCGTCCTGCATTGAAAGTCCAGTCCTTCCTCTCTTATTTATGGTTCGCCATTAATGGAAAACTTTCCATGTCTTTAGCAGTTTGGCCTTACATAAACTGGTTCTTGTTTATCTCTTCCGTTTCATCTTTCACCACTCCTCTTTGAGCACCTAAGTTTCAGTCATACTGAACTAGCCACAGTTTTGCAAATTCACACCGGTAGTATGCCTCAGGGCACCATATGTGCTATGCCTTCTGCCTAGGAAGCCTATTCTTCAGCCTTCTCCTAACCCCTACTTCTTCCTCCAGACTCAGTCCAGCTAGCTATCTAGGGAGACTCCCCTGCTCCTACCCCACCACATCCCTGTGTATGTGTGTCAGATGCTCCTTCCAACATGTAATTTTCTATGCCCTATAATAAATGTCCTCACCAATAGACTATAAGCTTATCCAGAGCAGAAATTGCTTTTGTTTTGTTCTGTTCTGCTTTGGTTTTCCTTTTATCTCCTTCAGTACCTAGCATAGGCCCTGCATGTAATAGGCACTCAAATATTTGCTAAGTGAAGCTTTATGAATAGAGCAGCCATAGGTTGCCAGTCCAGGAGTGAGAGATTTCATGTCCAGGTTTTTCCATGACCAGCAGAATCCATTCATTAACCCTCCCCTCAGGCACAGCCTTCGGCAGGAATCCTTTCTGACCCTTCCTCTTCTTGTTTAGGCTTGGTGCCCCTTAGAGGGCACATGTTACTGTTTTGAATTGTTTTATTTGTATAGACTTAGGGGTACAAGTGCAGTTGTGTTGCATGAATATATTGCACAGTGAAGTGTGGGTTTTTAGTGTAACCAGCACCTGAACAGTATACAATGTACCCAACAGGTAGAATTTCAGCATTCACCTTCACCGCCTACTACTCTCCCAGTCTTTGCAGTCTGCAGTGTCTGCTCTTCTACTCTGTAGGTCCATGGGAGGGCACTTGTTTTTGAAGAGATAATTTAATGGGATCATGAAAGATTTGGGCCTAAATTCTGCTCTGCCACTTGTTTCCAGCTGTACAACTGAAGTTAAATTACTTAACTTTTCTGAGCATCGACATCCTCCACTAAAAGGCCAGTAGTATCACTGGGTTTCTGGGAACATAGCGTGACATATTTCCCGGCACATTGTAAGTGATCAATACATGTTGGTCTCCATTCCTCCTTTGTGCTCCCTTCGACCCTGGACATATCCCATTAACTCCCTGGTCTGCCTGCCTCCTTGGACTTGAGGTCTAGAAGTGTATGGTATAGCTGTCTTTCCACAGGACCCATGGGAAATGCTCAATGACTGTGGACTGAATAAAATTTCCCATTTTACTGGTCATCAACCTGAGGCTTAGAGAGATTAAATGACCCGCTCAAATCATGCAACAAGAAAATGGTTAAGCCAAGAACCACGACATCAATCTAATGCTTCCGCCAATGCTTGTTTCACACAGTATTAAACCATGAGATGAATGTATAGTGTAAACCTATATCCATGCAATAGGATCTGTGCACATGTACACAGGTGTGGCCCCACAAGAGATATCAAGTACTAGACAGTCTCACTTGCCCACATGGAAGAAGTGGATTCAGTGTTTATCACTATCAGCACTATCCTGCCCCACCACATACCTCACCTTTCTGGTTCTACCATCTTCCTGAAATAACTACAGTACAATATAATTTTGTTGAACAGATAGAGTTTATATTATGGTAGCTATATAAGTAGTGTCCACAACTTAGTAGTGTTATATTCCATAATTCTTTTCTTTCCTGTGCAAAATTCTGTTCTCCCTGGTATGAAAATTTCTGTTTGTGTGTATGCTTGGTTTTCTAAGGACTTATCACTACGTCAAACCCCAAATTTTCCTCTGTTGCCTCAATCACCTCTCGAAATATTTGAATACATCATGTTCTACCAGTTACATGTTCATGAAGAAATATCTTTTGCAACATTCTGACTTCTTCAAATTGGCCTGATTGAGTTCTGTGTAATTTATTTTTTCTTGATATTCTCTCTTGTTTTGGTGAAGCACTTCCTCTAGTAGTTTTTTGAGAAAGAGTCCACGGGAGGAACATTTTAAAGACCTCTCACATCTGCAAGTGAATTCAGTCTACTGTTACATAATCATTTCCTTCAGAATTTTAAAGGCATTCCTCCACTGTCTCCTGACTTCCAATGTTACATCTGAAAACAAAGTCATTCTGATTTTTGAAATAGTGTATGCAACTTTTTCTTTTAAAGCTTTTGAGATCTTTTCTTTGATCCTAGTATTCTAAAATCTCACCATAGTATGCTTTTCTTGGTGTGAATCTTTGCTTAATCTACTGTGCTAGATATGAAGGAGGTCCTTTAATTAAACAACAGCAACAACAACAACAAAACTCATGCCTGTCAGTTCCAGGAAAAGTTGTTGAATTATTTGTTGCTGATTTACTTCTAACCAACACCTCCATTTACTCCATTCTTTCCTTCTAGAAGGTATCACTTGAATCTTGGTCCTCCTGGTCTCATCCTCTAATTTTTATCTTCTTTTAATCCTCCATCTCTTTGCTCTGCTTTCTGAGAGATTTCCTCAGCTTTTTCTTGTGTTTTGTTTGTTGCATTTTTAAAATATCTATGGTCACATTTTTAATTTCTGAGATTTCTTTTGCATTGTCTTTTCTCGCTCTCAGGAAAATAATTATAATATTTGACGTTCTCATCTCCTTTTATAGTCTGTCTTTCCTCTAAACTTTTTTAAATATTTATTTTGATCTCCGTATTTCACCTTAGAAGCTCTTCTTTTCAGATATCTGCTGACTTTTGGTTGTCAACTCATGTTTAGGAATGAATAAAACACTAAGAAACTGATAGGAAATCTGAGAGCACAAGACGGGCCTACCAACTATGGGCAATATAGGGCTATGGACAGCAGGCAAGACACTGGTGATTGTCACAACTCTGGGAGATAGTACTGGCATCTGGTGGGTAGAGGCCAGGCCTGCTGCTGAATATTTTACAATGCACAGGACAGCCCCTGTAACAGAGTGATGCTGCCCAAAAGGTCACTAGATTTTGTTGAGAAACCCAAGTGTAGAATATCACAATGGGCCATTGAGTTAAGTCACCCCTGATATTAATATTTTTTATCTTTCTCCTGGGCTGGTTAGATTTTGCAGGCAAGAACCTTCCAGTCTCCTGCCTGAAGGCTATAACCTTGACTCCCACCATTCTGGAAGCCCGGAGGGTGAAATGGGCTGGTGGTTTCAATAGCCTGTACATAAAAGTCACTTAATCACTCTGTTACAATACTGTCTCCTCACCATCTACTCTGGCCAGTGTTCTCCTAGTCCAGAAGCCATCTCCAGAGGCTAAACATCTAGTCTGATGTGGTGGAGGAAAGGCACTTACTTGTCTACGTGGAATGGTGAAGGGGGATATAGAACTTGAATTTCTTCCTCAACAGACTTTCAAACAATCCTCCTGTTTTTAGTTACATCCTTACCTCCTCTTCAGCTGCAGTTCCAGAACCTTTGGTACTAGCAGATTTCTGTTGTATAAAACAGACTGTACCTCAGCTTTTTCTACAACTGCCTGCTTAATCAATATCATTCATCTATCTGCCTTCCAGCTTTCTATTCTCTTTGCTCTTATAGATTTACGACTTCCTAAAAAATGTATTTGCTACCATAATAGTGAGGTTTCTGAAGGGAATGAGAGCAAATGCATGTGCTCTCTTCTCCATCTGTTATATGGAGGTCCCACAATTTTATTTTTCATGTTGAGCATTTACTGGTGTTTTCCAAAAAGGAAATCCTAAGTACAATAAGCCCATCATCAAATGAAAACAAGGCATCTATACTGAACACCTGCCACATACAGGGTAAAATGTCTGCATTCTGTTGAATCTCTCTTGGCCAGTTTGGAGGTGCATGTTACCAGATGGATTTTGATGTCAGGAGTGATTTGGTTGC